TTTTTAAGTTTATTCATTTATTTTGAGAGCAAGCGAGCAGGCAAGCAAGCAGGGGAAGGGCAGACAGAGAAGAAGAGAGAGAATCCCAAGCAGGCTCTACGCCGTCAGCACAGAGCCCAATGCGGGCTCGAACTCACAAACCATGAGATCGTGACCTGAGCAGAAATCAAGAGCTGGACACTCAACTGACTGAACTGCCCAGGTGCCCTGCCAATTATCTACTTTCTATGTCACAACTGCTTCCATGTTCGGCTAATACAGTTATTTGCATACTATCGCTTCTAGCTACCATTCCAGAATAGGCTCAGGTTAAACGAATGACAGGTCATTAATACAAGCCTTCTAATGAAATTCTACTTAAATGTTTTACTAAAATCCTGATAAAGCAAGCAGAAAAGAGAAAAAAAATACACTTACTATGACTGGGCTATATTAGACAATCTGCAAACTACTGACTTAAATTTAGAAAACAGTCTTTAGAATTCAAGTTATTTATATATCCTAACATTAGCTTTTACACTGAAGTATTCTATAGAGCAATTTCCCATTAGCAACCACTCCAGCTTTCATACATTATTGTCTGCCAATAAAATATATGGGCAAAGAGGAAAAAAAAGGCAGTTGGGGTGGTCTTCAGGACACAATGCAAGAGCTAGAAAGAAACCTCAAGACTTCATCTTTAAAGAACCAAGACTGATCCAGGGGTGCCTGAGTAGCTCAAGTTGGTTTAAGTATCTAAACTGATTCAAGATGTCTCCACGTCATTAGTATATAAACTCTTCAGTTAACCCCCCTAAATATACAATCAACTTATACCAAAGAAGTCAGATGATCAAGGATTTGGATAGTTATCAAACCAGAAATGCAAAATGTTATGTGACCTAGTCCCTTCTTCAGTTAAATCTTCTAATTTATTGGATATAGAGAAGAAAGGTTTAAATAATTTTCTGGACAATACAGTTTTCAAAACATGGATATGTGTGCCCAATTATTTTGTGTGTGTGTGCGTGTGCACCCAGTGCTAAAAGATCCAAGTAAATGGTTCTTGGTGTGTGTTCTGTGTGTGCATACTCACTTTACAATCTTAACTGCAATCACACTCACCTGGCAAATCCAACGGCATGGTTGAGACAGTCTGCTAGTGATGCCTGCCTTTCTTCATCTTGTGCCAGCATCAACTTTTCTAACAGAATTTTAAACTTCTCCATTAGTGGGGTCAACAGATTTCTCATTAATGCTTGTTTCCGTTCGGCAGGATATTCACTGTTAACAATCAGCACTCCAGCTGTCTCATAAATAAAGAGTTGATCATCGCTGCTCAACAAAGACTGGTAACCATTCTCCTAGAAAGAAATTTAATCCTACTGGTGTTTATCGTTGTTCAGTTCCCCTCATTTAAGTACAATTAGTGCGATAGGGACAGGAGATACAATCTATCACATCAACTCATTATTAAAAAGTGGATCAAGTACTTACCAAAAACAAATTTTCTCCCAGTACCACATAATGGAAAGAGAATGGAATTTGAGGTCAAAAGATCAAAGGTCTAATTCTATCCTTGATAAAACAGTAAACTGTCATATAAATTATTAGTTACCTTCTAACTTGTTCACTTTTGAGAACAATCTTATTTGTAAAACTGTTACGAGGCGAATGAGATGTGTAAAGGTGTTCTGAATGTTAATACAAAGATCACACAGGTAAATATTTTGAGGAGTATTTAAGAATTGAATAACAATAAAAACCACACAATAAACACACCACACACACACATACATACACACACCAGTTGTTACTTTAGAATGTATGAAAATAAGACTGCGTATGGAAGAAATAGTTCTCATTCAAGCACAGGTAATTATCCCATACACTGGTCAATTCTTATTAATGACTTTTATTATTTTTTTACATTATGTTAATGATTTTTATTACTTTTTACTTTGGGAGGGATCAAAAGGAGGGTGAAAATACCAGAGTGCACTCTGGATCCAACACTAAAGCTCCCTGTTAAAAAATCACATGGGGCACCTGGGTGGCTCAGTCGGTTGGTTAAGCATCAGACTGTTGATTTCAGCTCAGGTCTTGATCTCAGTTTCGTGAGATCGAGCCCCGCATGGGGCTCCACACTGACAGTGCAGGGCCTGCTTGGGATTCTCTGTTTCCCTCTCTCTCTGCCCCTCTCCCTGTCTCTGTCTCTCCCAAAATAAATAAACCTAAGAAAAATTACATAAAAAGCGTGCCCGGGTGACTCAGTTGGTTGAGAGTCCGACTCCTGATTTCGGCTAAGGTCATGATCCCACAGTTTCATGAATCAGAGCCCTGTGCTGGGCTCTGCACTGACAGTGCAGACTGCTTGAGAGTCTCCCTCTCTCTCTGCCTCTCCCCTGCTTGCACTCTCTCTCTCTCTCAAAATAAATAAACTTAAAAAAATTTACATAAAAATCTAGTTTTAGAACAAATTATGTGGTGATTTTATATAAAAGAGTACCTCATTTATTAAAAGAAGCATGTCCCCATATAGAAGTAGTAAAGCATTTAAGTACCACTAGGACTAATCACTGCTTTAGGGGTTAAAAACACCAAGATAAAGCAGCTATATGGATATCAGGTCCTGGGGCACCCGGGTGGCTCAGCTGGTTGAGCATCCAACTTCGACTCAGGTCACGACCTCACAGTTGGTGAGTTTGAGCCCTGAATCAGGCTCACTGCTGTTAGTGCACAGCCCACTTCAGGTCTTCGGTCTCCCTTACCCAACCTCCCCCCTTCATGTTCTCTCTCTCAAAAATAAATATTTAAAATAAAAAATAAATGAGTTAATTAACGGTACTTAAAAATGGGTACTCGTGACCCTATTAAGCAGACAACATTCAGTAAAAGCCTCTAAACAAAGTGTTTTTATGTACTAAAAAGGGATTGCAGCTATAGTTTAAGCCCTTGTTTATACAAACAGTATAAAAAATCAAAGATTTCTAATATGTATAAGATGATATTGCTACATAAAACTTTCTGAATGCCTAGGTCTTATAAGGTCACTGTAAAGCTGCCAAGGAAAACTGGCATTAATTAGGTGAAGTTCTTTCATGTATAGGGTTTTGTAATATGCCAAGACAATTTAAGCATATAATTCATTAGTAATCTTTCATTCAGTGAAATTATGTAACCACTGAACCCTAAGTTTTGATATTCAATGAAAAGAACAAAAGTATTATTTTATGTTTAACACTTCTCAAGTGGAAGCTTTAGTAGGAACTTTTTTTAAAATTTTTTTTTTTTTCCAACGTTTATTTATTTTTGGGACAGAGAGAGACACAGCATGAACGGGGGAGGGGCAGAGAGAGGGAGACACAGAATCGGAAACAGGCTCCAGGCTCTGAGCCATCAGCCCAGAGCCTGACGCGGGGCTCGAACTCACAGACCGCGAGATCGTGACCTGGCTGAAGTCGGACGCCCAACCGACTGTGCCACCCAGGCGCCCCTAGTAGGAACTTTTATCAAAGTTTATGAAAAAAATGAGTCAACGTCAGTGTACAAAAACATGTAGAGGTCAAAATATACTTACAAAGTATCTCAATTTAAATCTTTCTGATGAAATGAATACCAAAATATCAACCAGCATTTAAACATTTTTAGCCAAAGCCTTAAATTACTCAAAAAAAGTCACTCTACTGGTAGCAGTCACTTAGAATGGCTAATATGATCATATACTAAATAAGAAAAAATTTAGAAATTAAATTTTTCCTTCTCCGTAAGATACTTCCAACATTTAACAGTGAGAACAGACCATATCTCATTCTGCCAAATTTATCAGTCAACTCCTGATTATTTTCTATCACTATTTTATTAATTCTAGTATGATGTTTACTAATCCCAACAGAATTTTGGTAAACAGAAGTAATTAACCCTTGCACACACCCTCTTCCTCTCTGCCACCCTGACCCTTCATTAAGAAAACTGCCTACAAGGCATTAGCATTAAAGGCTAAAGGCACGTATGGCTTCAATGATATTTGGAGAGAATCTGTAATTTGGAAAGATAGATACTTACAGGTGGAGAAAGCTCTAATAAATCTTGTATCCTATTCAGAATATCCTCAATGAAAGGATTCATTTGTTTACTGAAAAAAGGCAAAAGAAAAAAATCACAATTATGTAAATAGTGCTCAAAATACCAAATCCCCCTTTATAAAGGGCAGAACTAAAAAAAAAAAAAAAAGTTCTGTTCTACGTTAGTCAGTGTAATCATTAAGACTAGCTATGATTTTTTAAAATTACAACCTTATAAGCCTTAGAATGAGTTTTCATACCCCCCCCCAAAAAAAACAGATTAGGTTAAAAAATTTATTTCTAAGAATAAGAAATATATTCTTTAGAATTTCAAAGAATGCATACAGTTATAACACCAATAAAACTGTTGGCTAAATAAATAACTAATGCCATTACATCTGACTTCAGCTCAGGTCATGATCTCACAGCTCATGAGTTTGAGCCCCACATCAGGCTCTGTGCCGACAGCTCAGAGCCTAGAACCTGCTTTGGATTCTGTGTCTCCCTCCGTCTCTCTCCCTCCCTTGCTCATGCTCTCTCTCTCTCACACAAGTGAATAATGAACATTAAAAAAAAAAATTAAATAACTAATGCCGTTAATGATGACAGCTGTTCTATATAAAGGTATGCTTTATTTACAAAGTACCGGGGCTAATGAATAGTAAATGAAGTCCTAACATTATGATACCAAAAAAGAACATTTCATTAAAAAAAAAGCCTTAGAACAAATAGAACCAAATCTACAATAGGTTTTTAGAAAATAATTTATAGGTCGTATTTAATAATCTTAAAAAGGACACATAACAGCTGATATTTCATACTTACTTTAGAGACTTGACAAATCTGGAAAACAGGTAAGCAGCTCGGCTCCGCACTTTGGCACTAGAATGCCGCAGACCCCTATGATCTAAGAAGGCCATCTAAGGAAACGGAGACACTTTCACTACTTCTGCACTCACTTACGGCTTTTATTGTTATTGTCACAATACATGTTTGTTCCCATCAAATTTTACTTCTTAGCTCCCAGAAGGCAGGAACCTGGTATATTTAACAAATAATTCTTGAGGACACCAATAGGCCCTGGAGGACTTGTTTTAGATGACTGATTAAGCCAGAAACTGTCTATTTTAAAGAAATAGAGGAGGGGTCGGTTTCAGTGTATTCAAGAGTTTCTGAGAGCTTCTGGCTCCAAGAAAATTTATAAAAATAGACTACTATCTGCTCATTAGCAGAAATACCTGGAAAAAAACCCAGAAACTGAGGATAAAATATATACTTACTAGGACACATGGAATGTGTTGAGGTTCAACTGTGAAAAACTTTTCATATCTAACAACAGTTTCGAAGAACTCCAATGTCACAGATGTATGCTGATAGGAACTAACTCCTGATGTTACCAACTGGAGCAGAAAAAAGTTAAGACATCTGTCCTTAATTCATTGTAACATCAAAATACCCCAGTATTAACAGATGCTAATTAAGGAACTCCCATTAGCTTGCAGTGAAAACAGAAAATTATGTTCAAAATAAATGATCTGTAGTATACTTACAGTTCGCATCATATCCTGCAAAGCACTAGCTTTTGAAACATCACCTGAGAAGTGAGCACCATGAGATACTGGAAGAGCTTCTGCCAACATATACAGCAGTCTTATTGCTACTTCAACCTCCATAAAACGTGTAGTCTGCCAATTCCTACCAAGAGAGAACATGTACATGACATCTGCATGTAAACATTCTACAGAACACCAACAAAAGCCTCTTTAATTATTAAGAAATTATAGTAATGGTTAATTTTAACAGGCAACAAAATTACATCACAAAATTAGAAATGACTCGTGATACATTTCGCTGTTTATGTTCCAAAAGCAGTGTTTCCCCACAAGGATCATCATAAATGGAGACAACAACAACACGGACGGAGCTAGAGAGGATAATGCTAAGTGAAATAAGCCAGAGAAAGACAAATGCCCAATGACTTCACTCGTATGTTGAATTTAAGAAACAAAACAGACACAGGAAAAAGATAAAAAGAGAGAAAGACAAACCAAATAAACAAAAGAGAACTAGAGAATAAACTGATGGTTACCAGAGGGGGGAAGGGGAGGGGATGAAATAGGTGAAAGGGATTAAGAGTGCACTCATGGTGAGGAGCACCGAGTAATGTGTAAAGCTGAATCACTATAATGTACACCTGAAACTAATATAACACTGCAGGTTACCTATACAGGGATTAAAAAAAAGATAATTGGAGTCAAATGCATTGCTTCACATACAACATAAGACCTTGGTAAGTACCAAAGATTAATAAATTACACGAATCATGCATTGTAGACCATCATCACGGAGAAAAGGGAAGAGGTAGGCCACTTACAAAAACAGGCACACACTTACTGCAGTGTGGAACTAAAAACTCTGCGAACAGAAGCCAGCAGTAGCTCCGGTGAAACTTGAGCAAGCCTGTCCAACAACAACTTCAGTTGTTTTCTGTATTCTACAAACATGGCTTCATCTTCACCCTAAGACAGATTTTTAAATTCTCATTTTAAAACTTAAAAGACCTTAAAATTCATGTAAATGGTTCATTCTCATAGTTTTCTGCATTTGTAAATTTAGTATGTACTTTTTTCATTAACATTTACGTAGGAAAAATTACTACGTTTAGTAGCCTTTCCTCCCCTGCTCACAACAAACATTTCTGAACACAGCCCTAGCCCTCAAAAGCCTAGAGCCAGAAACAGTATAGGGAGGAGGTTAAGGACAAGAACCTAGAGGCAGAATGGATTCACAATGGGCTTCACGAAAGCTTCACCACCTTATTCATACTCCTTGTATCTTGTAATATCTTATAAAGATATTGTATATAACAAGTTTTGTACTAAAGTGTGCAATTTGTTCATTATCATCACCATTACCTTTTTATAGTCCAAAGTTTTTGAAAGCCTCAGATGGGGAATTGAACACTTAGCACATTGCAAAATAGCATAAACCACGCTCGAGTTGATAGAAAGCACTTGACGATCCTTGTGTGTAAAATAACTCACTGGCAACCCTGGACAAGACTTGTAGCTACAAGAAGTCCAGAGAGTTAAGTGCTTCATTCCCACTTTCCCATAGACACTTATGATCTGAGGTCCACTGACAAGGTCTCAACTCATCACTTCTATTAAATACAAAGTGAGATATGATCAGCATTTGTATTGTTAATATTTTACGAAGTTCAATGCTACAATAAGTGTTTTAAAAAGGGATAAAATACCAAACAGGCATTTTTTGAGGGTATTATGAAGGATTATGAGGCTTCTATTAATTTCACCTAAGGTGGAGGTCAATATAAGCAAGAGTGTTAAAATATTTGTTTTATTTAAAGAACTCTAAGCAAAACTGAAAATGTTAATTTGAGGTAAGTAAATAAAACTGATTTCTTCCCAACAAAAATTCTTACCTCATTTTCAAAGTTATATTCTTCATCGTAAGTCAGTTTTTTCATAACGGCCAACATGATTGCCTAAAATTAATAAATATCTTGGGTCAGTTTCCTTTGACATATTTTGAAGTTGTTGTATTTCAAGACAGACTGCAGTCACAAATTCTGGTATCACTTTATAAGAAGCAAAAATAAGTCAATTACCTCTACATTAGCTTTTTGCTGATCCGAGAGCACTGTAAGCTGTTAAAAAAAAAAGCAAGCAATAATTTATTAGGTTTCCTAAAGTCGTACTCATCAAAATGTTTTTTTCATCAATTAAGACCTTTTAAAACATGCACACAACTTTTGTGGAGGGCAGTTTGGTAGTACCTTTCTGTATTTAAAATGCACCTAACCTAAAATCTAGCAAGTCCATTTCTAGTAAATAACTTGACACATAGATGAATTTCAACTCTAAGGATTATTCATAATGTATTCAGCAAAGAAGTTTACAGGACAGTAAAGTATGGTCTTCCCTTATTTTCAAACAAGGCAAAAAAAAAAAAATGCTAGAAATCCATTAAGAGACATACAGTGGAATCACCAATAGTCATTTTAACTTTCTTCACATCTTTCCGTTACCTGAAATTTCTTAAGGTATGTATGCAGACATGTGTTATGTTTTCAACAATAATACAGAAGCTAAACTCAGTTTGGAAAAAAATCATTTTAAGCTGGACTTGATTCAACTAATCAAATGTAAATAAAATAGCAATGGTTTTCTCATCTAATGACATAATGAGAAGTTATTAATTTGTTTTTAATAAATCTGCCCTGCTGTGTGATTGAAAAAAAAAATTTACTTATTCATTTTGAGTGAGAGAGACAGAGAGAGGGGCAGAGAGAGAATCCCAAGCAGGCTCTGCATTGTTAGTGCAGAGATGTGGGGCTCGATCTCAGGAACCATGAGATCACATCCTGAACCAAAATAAAGAGTTGTATGCTTAATCACTGAGCCACTAGGCACCCTAGGGCCTGCAGCCTTTTAAAAATTACTAACTTCTTGAGGAGCTGGGTGGCTCAGTTACTTAAGTGTTCGATTCTTGATTTCAGCTCAGGTCATGATCTCACAGTTCGGTTCGTGAGTTCAAGCCCACTGATAGTGTGGAAGCTGCTTGGGATTCTCTCTCTCTCCCTCTCTCTCTACCCCTCCCCTGCTTGTGCTCTCTCAAAATAAGTAAAATAAAAAAAACGCTTTAAAACAACAACAAAAAAATCAGCAACTTCTCAGGGCACCTGGGTGGCCCAGTAGGTTGGGCGTCTAACTCTTGATTTCAGCTCAGGCCATAAACTCATGGTTTGTGGGATCAAGCCCCATGTTGTAGGGCTCTGTGCTGACAGCACGGAGCCTGCTTGGGATTCTCTCCCTCTCTCTACCCCTCCTCTACTCTCTCTCTCTCAAAAATAAGCAGGGGCGCCTGGGTGGCTCAGTTGGTTAAGCCTCCAACTTCCACTCTGGTCACAGTTTGTGAGTTTGAGTCCCACGTTGGGCCCTGTGCCGTCTGTCAGAACCTGGAGCCTGCTTCAGATTCTGACTCCCTCTCTCTCTGCCCCTCCCCATGCTTGCATGCATGCTTTCTCTCTCTCAAAAATAAATATTAAAAGAAAAAAATGAACAAAAATAAATAAATGGCTACAAGCCCTAACATGGAGACTATTACTGTCTACATTTTAAGTCCTTATTGGAAACAACTCTGTAAGGAGAGATTTTTAATTGTAAAAAATTATTTATAAGATATAATGTATATTTAGTTAAAATAACGAATGATGTTTAACAAAATTTCTACTATATTTAAAACCAAGCACAGGGGCACCTGGGTGGCTCAGTCGATTAAAGTATCCGACTCTTAGCTCAGCTCGGGTTTTGATCTCAGGTTCTTGAGTTCAAGCCCTGAGTTGGGCTCCACGCTTGGCATGGAGCCTACTTAAAAACAAACATACACAGATTCAAAATGAAAAAATAACGTAAACCTACAGCTAATTCTGGAGCTTGTTAAAATCTAGCAAATTTTAGATTCTGGCCATTCTTGTTTTCTGGCTAAGAAGTTGGAAAAAAAAGAAGATGGAAAGACATTAATATTTAACAGTAAATGTAGCTAGCTAGTAGAATGACAGGTATTTTCTTTTTTCCTATATTTTTCAATTCTCTGTGGCTCTTCTATATTATGTACTGGACAAAAAGATTAAAACAAGGACTTACCTGTTTCAAAATATGAAGATAATCATAACAAAATCCAATAATATTAGAAGAGATGTCATCATCTTCATGAATTAGTAGCTGCAGCATCAGGGCCACTTTTGTTTCAATAGCTTGTAGTGCCTCTTGAGCATTCTTGATATCCCCATTCTTAATTAATTTAGTCCAACTAACTATCAAGGACTGTCCCATTCCATTTACCAGTTTAGAAAATCTGGCCAGGAAGTCAACATCTTCTTCCTACAAACAATCAAAAGAGACCTCAATTTAAAACCTCCCACCTAAGAGTAAGAAGAAAAACTCTATCAACTTTAGTATGAATCAAGTGACAATTCTACAACCAATTTTATTTTATTATTATTTTTTTTTTTATTTTTGGGACAGAGAGAGACAGAGCATGAATGGGGGAGGGGCAGAGAGAGAGGGAGACACAGAATCGGAAACAGGCTCCAGGCTCTGAGCCATCAGCCCAGAGCCCGACGCGGGGCTCGAACTCACGGACCGCGAGATCGTGACCTGGCTGAAGTCGGATGCTTAACCGACTGCGCCACCCAGGCGCCCCTCTACAACCAATTTTAAACTTAACAGAAATTTAACTATTCTACTACCTGGACTGGAAACTCATTAGAATTTGAATTTCTTCTACTGTTATTGGCCATTGGTACTCTTCCAAGCAATTCTTTCCAACGGTTATGCGCTTCTACTGCCAACGTTATAAAAGCTTAAAAAAAGAGATCTGTGGTTTCAAAACCTTCTGTCTAAATTGTTTGATTTAGTAAATATGCTATAACAGTTAATGTCACACTACAGTATAACAATCTGTAACAGTCCTTTCTGAAACTATGTGAGCCTCAACTATGCTACAGGAAGATAGAACTGCCATTATAACCACCTGCCTAAGGTCATACCAGTGTTAAGGGTCAGAACTTAAACTTCACATTATTTTCATTAATTATTCTTACGATGATTCTTTAGAGATTTTAGTTTCATCATTTTAGGTCTTTTACCGCAGACTAAATAAGACAATTGTTAGCAATGTAAGAAAACACTACTATTCTTCTGTCGGCAAGGATAACGGGAGAGCTGTACTACTGACATACCAGCAATTCAAAGATTTCTTAGTAATTTTTTATCACTGTCACAGGCAAAAGAGAAACCTTCATGGGGCGCCTGGCTGGGTCAGTCAGTTGAGCATCCAACTTCGGCTCAGGTCAGGATCTCACGGTTTGTGAGTTTGAGCCCCACATTGGGCTCTCTGCTGTCAGCACAGAGCCTGCTTTGTTTCCTCTGCCTCCCTCTCTCTGCCCCTCCCCCACTTGCACTCTTTCAAAAATAAACATAAAAAAAAAATCTTAAAAACAAAACCCCTCCATATTCTGTTTCTAAATTACTTATTTACCACACTCAGAGCCCTCACTCCGTTGGGGCTACAATGTACATAGCTCAAATGAATAACAATCAAAAGTATGGTGAAAATGTAACATTTATAACGGGGTATAGTTTTGGTCAAAACACACTGCCTTGTATATAGGATATTCCTTGCTATTTAAAGGACAGACCAATGGTATCAGATTCAACTGGGAGTTTGTTAAAAATGCACAACTGCAGGTACCATCCCAGGTCTTCGACTTTAAGAACTGGTATAATTATATATATATATACATATATATATTATAGGTATATAAATATATGTGTGTATATTATATATATCATTATGTATACATTATAGTATATATATTATATATAGATAATATGTATAATTATATATATAATTATTAAATATAACAATATAATTTACTGTCCAAGGCAAATGCTACAGCGAACATTATGGCTTTCTGAATACAGTGTTTCCTTATTTATAATCTCAAGGAGAGTTTACAACATTGGGGAAAAAAGGAAAAAAGAAAGCGTATTTAAATTAATACCTGTCCTACTTTGTTCTAACAATTTTGAAAACTGAATATATAAATTTACCGACCTGGTCAATGCTGAAAAACCCAGCAGACTGTAATACTTGACACAAAGATTCTACTAGTTTCATTTTATCAACAGGATCCATTCCTTTATTTACAATTTCAAATAAACAGTCACATGCTTCTTCCCGTAGAACTTCTATTGACATATGACCTAGCAGCATATTTATAAACCTGGCAACAGCAGAATAAAACTGTTACAACATTTTCAAACACATGAGTTTTACACACTGTATTTTGTAGACTTAAATCCTGATAATATATGTATACTTACCTATCATTGGCTATAAGGGATAAGTCTATCCAAGAGACATAAGCCCCAACTACCTCAAGGCACTGACACGTCACTTCTGAATTAGTATACTGATAATTTTGTAAGATTTGGTACCATGATTCCACTAAGTTTGGAATGCACTGCTCCCTCATGGTATCTTTTATTAGAGTATTCCTACGAGCCTCCTGAAAAACAAAATAAAACATCTTATGCATCGAGTAGATTACCACACAAAATAATTTTTGACATCTGAATAGTTACACAAATTTCCTCACTACTAAACTTCCAGACTTGTTAACACATTCCCTGCCACTGTTTTCTATTTCTCAACTCTAAAATCATATCCTGTGATTCTTTTAATTTCCTTTTTCTGTTGCATTCCACAGCGCCAGATTTCTTATTAGACACAAACCATAGGGGCGCCAGGGTGGCTCAGTCAGTTAAATCAACTTTGGCTCAGGTCATGATCTCATGGCTTGTGAGTTCGAGCCGTGCATTGGGCTCTGTGCTGACAGCTCAGGGCCTGGAGCCTGCTTTGGATTCTGTGACTCCCTCTCTCTCTGCCCCTCCCCTGCTCATGTTCTGTTTCTCTCTCTCTCACAAATAAATATTAAAAAAAATTTTTTTAATAAAAAAAACCCAACTATAAATAAGCATTACTTAGAAATCTAAAGCATATGATAAAAGGTACTTGTCAGTATTATACAAACATGATTATTTAACCTACGTAAGAGAGTGGAAATTTGTTTTTAATTAAAATTTTTTTGAGTATAGTTGACTTACAATGACTTACAATATTACATTAGTTTCAGGTATACAACATAGTGAATCAACATCTTTATACATTCTGCAGGAATGGTAATAATTTAAATGCATGATAATAACCTTTACAGTTTTAAGTATTTCTGACATATGACTTTAAATTATTTTACACATTTGAATCAAGCAATTTTCTTTAATGTTTATTTATTTTTGAGATAGAGAGGGGCAGAGGGAGAGGGACACAGAGGATCTGCACTATAGTGCAGAGCCCAATATGGGGCTCAAACTCACAAACCGTGAGATCATGACCTGAGCCAAAGTCGGACATTTAACTGACTGATCCACCCAGATACTCCTGAATCAAGCAATTTCTATTGTGTCCTTTAAGAAGAAGGTGAAGGGTGCCTGGGTGGCTCAGTCAGTTAAGTATCGTAATAACTCAGGTGGTGATCCGATTCATCGTTCAAGCTTACGTGACTCTGATAGCAAACTCAAGAGCAGACTGCTTCAGATTCTGTGTTTCTCTCTCTCAAAAATAAATAAATATTAAAAAAAAAAAAAAGAATAAGGAAGAGGAAGTCGCGGTGCCTGGGTAGCTCAATCAGTTAACCCTCTTACTCTTGATTTTTGGCTCACCCCGAGTCATGATGTTCTTGCGGTTTTTTGTGAGATCATCCAAGACCCCCTTGCTGTGTCAAAGCTCTTTTTGACATCACGGAGCCTGCTTGGATTCTCTCTTCTCTCTCTGCCCTTCCCTGCCCACGTGCTCTCAAAATAAATAAACCATTTAAAAAAAGTGAAAGAATAAGGAGAAAAGTTATATCAGACCAATGAGCTAGACCTAGGTGATGGGCTGTGTATTAGTAATGAATATGTATAGAATAAGGACACAGATTGATAAGCAGCGATACCTCCTCATAACTATATAGCAGGGTAAATACAGACATTTGTTAGCTTCAAAAATTCCTAAGAGAACCAATTTGTGTACTTCATTGGAGAAAGTACTTGCCTCATTACAAAACAAATGAACAAAAAAACCCAAAAACCACCAAAAAAACAAAACCAAAAAAAAACCCAAACAACCCTCTAAAGTAATACTCTAATTTCAACATACACTTGGGGGAAAAAGCCAGTTCAAGTTCCTTTCTAGAACAAAATTAAAAATGGGTGGTGCATAATCCATTGCAGGAGCCCAGGGGGATACCTGGCTGGCTCGGTTGGGCGGAAGAACGCTGGCTCTTGATCTTGGGGATGTTTGAGCCCCATCTTGAATGTAGAGATTACTAAAATAAATAACTGAAAAAAAAAAAAAAAAAAGAAAAGAAAAAAACGTGTCTCCAGGGATGCCTGGGTGGCTCAGTGTGTTAAGCATCTGACTTCAGCTCAGGTCATGATCTTACAGTCCATGGGTTTGAGCCCCATGTCAGGCTCTGTACTGACAGCTCAGAGCCTGGAGCCCAGTTCAGATTCTGTGTCTCCCTCTCTCTCTGCCCTTCCCCTGCTTGCACTCTGTCTCAAAAATAAACGTTAAAAAAAATATTTTTTTTAATTAAAAAAAAAAAAGACAATGTGTCTCTGAATAAAAGAGACATCCCACTCTTTTTTTATTACGTGCCCATCACCTCCTACAAAATCTTCATTAAAAACTAACAATTACAGGCACTTGGGTGGCTCAGTTGGTTGAGCATCCAACTCTTGATTTCAGCTCAGGTCATGATCTCACAGTCTTGGGACTGAGCCCTGCATTGGGCTCAGCACAGAGCCTGCATGGGATTCTTTCTCTCTCCCTGTCTGCCCCTCTTGCGCTCATGAACTGGATTCTCTCACACATGCTCTCTCTTTCAAAATGGATAAACTTAAAAAAAATCAACTAACAATTAATGGGAAGTTACTTGCCTCTGATGTATGCACCACATCACGATCCACCAACTCTGAATCAATTGCCATGAGGATTCGGAGGTACAGATCTACTCCCCTTGGATTTAGGTCCACTACTGAGAGAATGTCAAAAAAAAACTTGGGCCATCTAGTGAGATATTCTGTAACAAAAAGCAAGGCGAAGACTTGGGCTGCTTTATTTCGTATAAAGGTCTTCTCTGGTTGGGGATTCAGCATCTGACAAACAGAGAAATTGTCCTTGAAATTAAATGTAAACTGGAAACTCTCATACTGTTTTCCTATTTATCATCGATAGGCAAAAACTCACCAAACCCCTACACAGTCTAGATTAGCTATGCAACAAATATGCTTAAAAATTACCAAAGTATTTAAGTGATTACCCAGGTGGAAAACAGTCAAAGATGGTTACTTCTCTTTCTCACACTTTTAGAGAAAAGTTTCACATGTAGAGTTTTATTACTTATTCCTTTTACTAACTGCTTTTCTTCTAGCTGTTTGCTCTTTAAGGAAAATAAAAATTCCACCTACATAACTACTACTTTATATGTTAAGATTAGTTAAAATTAACAAAAAAGAACACAACATGAACAAAAAACTCTAAGATTCCCCCCCACCCTTTGTAAAGAGGCTGTCCAGGAGGGCTCATGTTTAAAAGTAAACAAAGTATCTGTTTCTGTTACCTAGTTAAACAACAACAAACTATTTTAAAACCAAGTTTCAACAATGTGTCATGGAAAGCATGACAGTTTCAGTTATTGATATAATTTTAAATTATTGCGAGGCTTTCTTATACCCATGATCTTTGAAATCAGCACTTTCTAAAAGAGCTATGGGATCAAATGGAGGATAAATGTCCAACATTTCTGAGGTAAAATTCTAAACTCTTACAAAACTAAAAATTTAAATATCTGGCAATCTGAGGTACGGAATAAAATTACTAGTTTACCTGAGCTTGAAGCCAAGAGATGAGCGTCTCCCTAATTAGTTGTTGCTGAACTGTAGTTAGCTCTGAGTACCTGTCCAAAATAGAGAAGAAAAATAGTAACGCCTGTATTTGGTGTCTGTGGTTTAAAAAGTAACAGCCTCATATATTTGAAAGGGAAAATCTATGTAACACTCAATTACTTAAAACTTCCTAAAATAAATTGATAATGCTTCTCATCATGGCTTTAAAAGAAAAGACCGGGTGGGCCTGGTAGGCAGTAGTATATCAACCACTGATCTTAGTTTAAGGTTCAGCTCACGTGAAAATAAAATGGTAGCTGTGGAATTTTTCAAATGGAAATATGGCTATGTTTTGAGGTCTGTGACTTACAAAATAAATCGACAGGCAAACTAAGGGTCCTCTGAGCAGCGATTCACTGTTTTCTGCTTAATTGAGGCAGGTTTCTAAATGCAAATGGCCACACTGCCACTAACCTCTAACAGAGTTATCATGTAGGAAACAGGTTTGCCGTTGCTAGATCTTCTGATTTTTCCAGAGAAGCTTGAAATCTAATTTGTTGTGTGAAATGTCTGGACTTTTTATTGTAACCAATGAAGTCAGTATTTTTAAAACACTTTGGGATAAATCAAAACACATCTATAAACTGGATGTGACTTATGCACTCTCAACCTACAGCTTATGATTTTCCCAGAAAAAAATTAACTTAGAAAATGGTCTCTCCTCACAAATTTCAGAGTCAAAACAGTGAGAAAAGCCTTACTTGTATTTAACTTGATGTTCCAGTACTTGAAAGCAGAAAAACTTTATGTGATCATCACTGAAAAAGAAAAAAAGGAAAACCAGGTTAGAACAGAATTTAGAGAAAACAAATCAAAAGTAAAATACTAGTGAAACATCTGAAAAGTTTCTCAAAGGAGACCTTTGGCTTCCTTTCTACCTCTTGATCTCATATATTACACTGATATCCATTTGTTTAGAACTTCAATATTATACAATGATGAATATTTCCATTAAATCTGATAAAATGATGACAAAAGTTAAGATGCAGCTTAAGTATACTGCTTTGCAAACAGAAGACATTCCCCCTAAATTCTAGATGTTTGGATTCCTGTAACAACTCCTACACTTTACAACAGAAAGGCTAGAATAGGGGTAGAATAACAAATGGTCAAATACCCAGACTGATTCAAACAGAGATTAGTAACTGAAATCATACTTAAAATTCAACCCTAGACAGCTGCATTGCACCAAATCCAAAACGAGCAGTGCCACTCGGACTGGTAGTTCAGCCTCAAAATTTCATGCAGAAAACCAAGTTACAGATACACTGCCCTTGTAAGAAGGGAGCAAAAATCAGTTATCTACCAATTTTCTACTCTCAAGGGTCTCTCTAGGGGTGATGCAGAGCTGCAGTGAGTCAACTACAATCTCTAACAAAATCCGTTTAGAGAACAACAGGGGTGCCTAGGTGGCTCAGTCGATTTAAGTGTTCAAGTGGGTTTCAGCTCAGGTCAAATGATCTTGCGGTTCGGTTCGTGAGTTCGAGTCTCCCGTAGGGCTCTGCGGTGGCAGGGCGGAGCCTGCTTGGGATTCTCTCTCCCTCTCTCTCTCTCAAAATAAATAAACAAACAAAGCAAAACCAAAAATACCAGCAATAACAACAATCTGTTCATCTAGTGTAGTTTGTCTGGGCCAGCCTTAATCATTGAACAATTTTTCATATCTAAAGCTAACTGGTAAATACAAGAATAGGCAGTATCTTAATTTAGACTACATGAATTAACTAAACAAAATAATTTCACACACAAGAAGTTGAAACAATCTTTTAATTAAGTTAGGTTTAATTACCACCTCTTCTGAGAACTTAAGGTTTCTATCCTTACCATGGATGACACTGAAACCTTAACTGAACTATAAAAGACTTAGGTTTCCACTGAAAAATATGCTACAGAAATCCTTTTAAAAACCAGATCTTATATCCTCTAAGGCATACAGATGTTCTCGAAATAAACTCTAACGTGGAGTACTTGGTTCCAACCGTCAACAGTGGCAACTCACAGCCACAACATGTCGACTATGCCAGGTAGAAGCCATCACTAACACCCAGGGGCATATTGCCACCAGCAAGTTGTCTGCTTACCCTAAGTCAGCTGTGTTTCCCTACGCCTTACTATGTCAATTGTATGCCTTTTTCAGTTAAGTAACTTAGTTAACCATTATATAAACTAATGAAATGAGTATGAAAGTTCCTATTTTTGTAAAAATTAAGCTGAACGCTTTAAAAAGACTTCACAGAAGTCACACTACAAAAAGGAAAAACCTTAGGATGCTAATTCAAGGGGATACATGCACCCCTGTGTTTATAGCAGCACTATTTACAATAGCCAAGACATGGAAGCAGCCCAAGTGTCCACTGAGAGATGAATGCATAAAGAAAAGGTGGTATATATACACAATGGAATATTATTCAGCCATAAAAAAAGAAAGAAATCTTGCCATTTGTAACGACATGGATGGAGCTAGTGTGTATAATGCTAAGTGAAGTAAGTCAGTCACAGAAAGAGAAATACTCTGTGATTTCACTCATATGCAGAATTTAAGAAACAAATGAACAAAGGGGAAAAAAATAAAAGCGAGATACATAAATCAAGAAAAAGACTCTTAATTATAGAGAACAAACTGATGATTACCAGAGGGGAGGGGGCTAAGGGAATGGGTTAAATAGGTGATGGGGATTAAGGAGGGCACTTGTCATGATGAGCACAGGGTGATCACTATATTGTACACCTGGAAACAATATAACACTGCATGTTAACTGGAATTAAAATAAAAATTCTTAATATTTTTTTTTCCTTTTTAAGTTTTTAAAATTTATTTTAGAGAGAGAGTGTATGCCAAGCCAGGGGGAGGAGCAGGGAGTTGGGGGGAGAGGAGAAGAGGGAGGGAGGGAGAGAGAGAAAGGGGGGGGAGGGAGAGGGGGAGACAGGGAGAGAGGGAGGGAGGTGGAGGCAGAAAGAGAGAGGGAGAGAGAAAGAAAGAAAATGAATCTGAAGCAGGCTCCACATTTGGCACAGAGCCTGACACAGGACTCAATCCCCCAATCCTGGGATCACAACCTGAGCCAAAATCAAGAACTGGGACACTCAACTGACTGAGCCACTCAGGCACCCCTAAAATAAAATTTTTAAAAAGGGGGCACCTGGCTGGCTTAGTCAGTTCAGTGACTGACTGGCTCAGGTCATCATCTCACTGTTTGTGAATCTGAGCCCCAGGTCAGGTTTTGAGCTGATGGTGCAGACAGCCTGCTTGGGATTCTCTCTCCACCTGTCTCCCACTTGTGCTGTCTCTAAGTGAATAAACAAACAAAAAGAAAAATTAAAAAAATTTTATTATAAAGGGAAAATCCTTCTGCATATTTGATGTGGGCTAGATAACTAGAAGCCTTGGAGAGGTGGGGCTAAGTAACTAAAACATCTAACTTCTTCAATCCACTGGAGATCCAAAGTGGAAACTGTAGAGGATGCATTATAGGTGTGATCAATGTAAGAATGATGAAGCGAATGCTAGTGGCATATACATAAAGGAAAGAGCTTGATTTAATATAAAGAAGCTGGTAAGTGAATGTGTATACACTCTAAATTTTTTGTATACTTTATTTTTTTTTTATTTTTTTTTCAACGTTTTTTATTTATTTTTGGGACAGAGAGAGACAGAGCACGAACGGGGGAGGGGCAGAGAGAGAGGGAGACACAGAATCGGAAACAGGCTCCAGGCTCCGAGCCATCAGCCCAGAGCCCGACGCGGGGCTCGAACTCACGGACCGCGAGATCGTGACCTGGCTGAAGTCGGACGCTCAACCGACTGCGCCACCCAGGCACCCCATGTATACTTTAAATTAAAATAAAAACTTAACCCTCCCCCGTTCATGCTCTGTCTCTGTCTCAAAAATAAATAAAACGTTAAAAAAAAAACAAAAAAAACCTTAAGATACATACAATTTATGACTACCTCCTCTGCCAACCTTTTAGAAAACCATCATAAGGAAGTTCTTACTGCACTGTATTCCTGCTGGGATCTGCTATCGAGTGCAAAGCATACGCAAAAGACAGACTTACTGAAAAGTCCATACTGGAATGGCCAAATTATTAGTTTACTATTTTTCTCATTTCTACACTGAACGTTTTTCCAAAACACAAGCCATAAAATGTTTTTATGGAAACGTTTTCCAAATACAGGTAAATTTGAGAGTCCTAGCAGGTTCACAGAAATTTAAATTCCTCTAAGTCATGCAAATTTTGTTTTAATTACCTGTATGTCCTTTGGGCCAGAGCTTCAGCACACACTTGCCAGGCATCTGGGGAAATCTTTAACTGCTCAAAATAGGCCAGGGCCTGTAAGATTACAAAGCCGAAAACACATGTGGAATGGTCAGTCTCAGTGCCTTACTGATACTAAAATATTCTATGAGTAGCAAACCAAAAATAAATCAGTCCACCTAAAAAAAAAAAAAAAAAAAAAAAAAAAAAAAAAAAAAAAAAAAAAAAAAAAAAAAAAAGGCTAAAATACTGGCTTCTAAGTATGTGCAACTTAGTGATCATTCCTAGAAAAAAGGTTACGTAAAAAGCAAATTCTGTTAGACACTCCTGTTTCCCTACAGCAAAGAAGACAACACAAAAATGCCCTGCAGACCTCCGTGAATAATTAGGAGCATTAAGAGAAAAACCACAAGTGCTTTGTCAAGTGCTGTGTTCCTGAGGTATATGTAATTATAAAATGGTACATAAAGGGCATTTTTCCTATTTAATAGCAAATATGCTATTAAAGAGGTGATTACAAAATTAAAGTCCAATTACATGATATGAATTTTGGAAAAGTACTAACAATTGGAAGGCTTTAGGAAATGTTTTGTATTTCTCTGCTTGAGAATTCAGGGCTTTGTTCAAAAGTATAGTCAAGATGGATGAAGCACCAAGTCCGTGTGCTCCTTACTAGATTGCTGGGAAAACGGGAAGGACTTCTGCCACTCTTCCATTAGCCTGTTTCAACTGGCATCAATGACAGATACAGAGGTCATGTAGGACAATGGACAAATAGTAATCCGAGCGAGCCGTGAAAAGTACCTCAAACAGCCAAGAAAATAACACAAAAACAGTGCTAGATAATTTTAAAGCTGATATGAACCTTGAAATGACTGATATAAACCTTGAAATGACGTAGAAAGAACATTACGTATTACAGGAACCTAATTTTAATTAGTAAATATTTTTAAAGCTATGGTTTGTGCTCCAATAGTGATGAAATAAATTGTATAGGTCTTGATCAGCAATAAAAAAAATGACAGAATATCAGTACACTGCACATATTATGTTGCGTAAATTGTTTTGTTATATATGAGTACGTGTGTGTATATATATATGTGTGTACATGTGTATACTGTGTGTATGTATATATATATACATATATAAAATGTGTATATATGTACACATATATATACATACACACAGTATACACATGTAAAAAATATATTTACTTGGGGCACCTGGGTGGCTTAGTCGGTCAAACATCCGACTTCGGCTCAGGTCATGGTCTCGCAGCTCGTGGGTTGAAGCTCCACGTCCAGGCTCCGAGCCTGCTTTAGATTCTATGTTTCCCTCTCTCTCTGCCCATCCCCCACGCATGTTGTCTCTGTCTCTCAAAAATGAATAAATGTTAAAAAAAATTTTAATAAAAAATATATTTATTCATATATGTCTGTACACACACACATACACACAATCAAGATGTAAAATTTTTCCTTTAGGTTAGAGGTTTAAAAAAAAGCCAAAAAGCTACCATATTTAAGTGATATTCTTTTATTATAATTGTATCAGTGAGGGATTAGGGAATGGGTTTTCATATGTGGTCTCACTGGCTGCTCCCACAAGTATAAATAATGGCTCTCTTTGAAAATTAAGACCAGAAGAACCCAGGCTGCTGCAAAGAATCTAGTTCAGTTGTTGTCTAACAATATTCCACGAAACGTTGGGTTTCCTTTAGGAACATTTATTGTCCCATTTAAGGACAAGGTGGAAGTCAATCACGTATGTTGCATTACCACGTAATGTATCACTTACCAAAAAAAAGGCAGGGGGGATTCAGTATATCACTGACCTACCAGTTTCTTTAACTAGTAAGTTTTAAGCCAAAGACACCGATTCCATTAAAAAAGTGAAAATAACTTGAAAGTTTCCAGTTTTTAACTGAAGTCTTTTAACTCTGAATCCATGCATTACCAACATTTTAAAATAAAATTTTGTGGCAATGATGAACAAGTCAAAGCTTTTATCACCTATTTCTTTTATTTCATACCTTTTTTCTAATGCTCTAGATTGCTGCTTCTAAGTGGCAACAGAGGCACTTCAGCTACTGCCCCTGTAGAAAAACAGAACTATAGCCAGACAACTAAGAAATGGGGTTGGCACACAGTTATCTTACAATCAAACTGAATTAGTGTCCCAACTACTCATTTCCAGCATCAGAACTATTAGAACTCACTTTCTTTAAGATTCCTTCTTTTTTATCCTAATTAATTCCATTACTCAGGATGGCTTAAGGGGATCAAATTAAGCCCGAATTTGGATGCTTAATATATGCCTATGACTGATGGAACTCAATTTTAATGATAAAAGCAGAACTTTATATTAAAACTACTAACACTGCATTAGGTTTACTTCTCCAAAAAATAAAATAATTACACATTTAAAAAATGTGTTGGGAGAGGGTACCTGGGTGGTTTGGTCTGTTAAGCATCTGACTTCGGCTCAGGTCATGACCTCTCAGTTTGTGGGTTTGAGCCCTGCTTCAGGCTCTGCTGACAGCTCAGAGCCTGATGCCTGCTGAGGATTCTGTCTCTGTTTCTCTCCACCCCTCCCCCGCTCACACTCCATCTCTCTTTCTCTCAAATATAAATAAGCATTTAAAAAAACTTTTTTAATCTGTTGGATTGTGGTATTTAATAAAAAATGAATAATTTCCAAAAGAGATCATAAAATAAAATAACACAAAAGACTATAATAACAAATTCTAAAAGGCTTTTAATCATAGCCATACAATACCAAGGTAAACATCTATGATACTTCAACTATGTGACTAAGGGTTTGAAGGTAAGGCAGCTTAAACTCCTGTGGAAAGAAATTTGTCTACACAGAGAAAACATAATTTTAAATGTCTTTTGATGTCCTAACTAGTTTGTTAGGTATCTTGTAACTAGCCAGATATTTAAACCTCAATTCCTGTTATTGCCCTCAATGTGGAGGGCTTGTTACTTATTCAACAGCAGAGGCATGAAACCATATTAGAAACTACTTGAGATTTTTTTTTTTTTTTTACTACGAAGAAAATTCTGCTTAAAAGCACAACAAAAACTGCAATACTATTTAGTGAGATTGTTAACCTCATTTAGCTCATTTGTAAAAAATATCCTTTGCTATGAGAAGTGGAAAGAGAAAATGATTCTCCTTCCACTTACCCTATACTTCAAAACACCCACATCTTTAACAAATGTAATTATAGGCTTGCTCTTTAGATTCTTCTTTTATCATTCAGCTATAGCCATGATTACAGGTGTAGCCTACATTATATTTAATTGTCCAAATATCCCAGCGCCCCATGGATTCCTTGTCATCTGACCATTTTATGTAACCTAAGACATGGCATATTCTAACTGCTAATTTACATGTCTGCCTGGACTAAATAACAAGGATGTTAAGTATCATTAACATCAGACCAAGCCAGGCAATAGAAAGATAAAATACGCATGTCTGTCACTATGGAAAAGTTCTTCGAAGAGTCTTTGCATTACAACTTTTAACTAAATAGAAACAATGAATGGGGCGCCTGGGTGGCGCAGTCGGTTAAGCATCCGACTTCAGCCAGGTCACGATCTCGCGGTCCGTGAGTTCGAGCCCCGCGTCAGGCTCTGGGCTGATGGCTCAGAGCCTGGAGCCTGTTTCCGATTCTGTGTCTCCCTCTCTCTCTGCCCCTCCCCCGTTCATGCTCTGTCTCTCTCTGTCCCAAAAATAAATAAACGTTGAAAAAAAAAATTTAAAAAAAAAAAGAAACAATGACTGATGTGACATAAAGAGCTGCCTTGAATCACACATGGGATTTCAATACTTGTTAAACCAACTTTTAAAACACAAATCACAATGCTGTTTGTATATTCAGAATATATTCAAGTACATCAAATCTGTCTCCATTCATTTCTACTCAAATGAAATCTTCATCATCAGATGTATTTTTTTTTTTTAATTCAAGTCCTCTAATGCAAATCTGTAGTAACCTTTAAAAAATGATTAAGCTGACTTAACTTACCCTTTGTCTGAAGTCTGAATCAGCATTTGGATTTAGCCCTAAAAGAGCCTGTTCATCCATCCCTGCTGCTATTCTTGGAGTTTTCTGATTACAATAGGCGTGCCCTCTGATCCCACAGAAGAATCCACAAACATCTGCACACACACACACAAAAAGTTGAAAGAAAACATTTGATAAACAAAATTAAGGCTTATCCAGAATATCACAAGTGGATAACATTATGCAAAGAAGTTTAAATGTTAAAAGAACTTTTGAAAACTATCCAAAATTACAACTAAAGGAGCCTGTCTTAGAAGAAATACTAAATACTCCACAAATGTGTAATTTCTAAAAATCTAACATGTCATTGATGTTCTCAAATTTTTCTTTAAGATCATGAATATAGGAAGTAACTCATCTCTAAACAGAAGTATCTAATTTATGCAATATTATTACCTTCAATACTTAAAAGTACCACTGTGTGACTACACCAAAAAATGACAAGCCTAGATTATCTTATTATACTAATTTGCCCCTTTCCATTTGTCAATATCACAAACCTTAAAAAAAATACAGAACTCAGAATGGCTAAATAGTGACCTCAGAGTTCAATATCCTTACTGGAGTGTCTACCAAGTACTTCAAGAGAAGTCAAATGAAAAGAGAAGTGGAGGAGTGAAAAACCAGGCATTTAACTTTTAAACAACAGACTCTCTTGACAGCCACTTTTAGAAATGTTATTTCACAAAACATTTTTTAATAGTAGCTATAAAAATTGATAAAGAACTTAATCCTGACTAGTCTTAAGAATATTTAGTCTCTGGAAAGCAATGCACTTTTTCACAATATGGTCTAACGTTCTCAAATAAGAATATGATTAAGTCCCAAAAGGCTACTTGGTTTTTGATACAATGTAGTTGAGGAAACAAGGAACAAATTCTAAATGATGTGAAAATCACATTTATCCTCTCAATACCTAGGAGGTAGAAAAATCAGGACTACTGCTCACATAAAAAGGCTGTAGGGCTTTTTTTCTGGGGGGGGGGGGGGGGGGGGGGTGTTTTAATTATCATAAACCAAAGAGAAAATCAGAGCCTAAAGAAGCCAAGAGACTAAAGGCCTGGGATGGGGGTGCACAGCCTTTCTGGGAGTGGTGAGGCCAGGATCTGATCTAGGTTAGAGGACCCCAACTACAATATGCTTTTCTGTCTTCCCCAGGGCCTGCCTGAAACAAATGATAAATCGGGTTATGTGCTGAGAGCCCTTGGAGAGTAAAGTCCAGCCCTTTCTTATTTCTAGATACTTGCAGACTACAGCAAGGCAGTGTAGCCCCCCACCCCCCCGCCCTCAGGATTAAGGTGCACACACTTTTGAACGACTATTCTTCAGCTGAACCCAGCAAGGCCAGTGGTATTTGGCCTTTCATCTTTGCACTCACTGCTCTTTTCTTGTTACTTTGTTAACCCCTGCCTGTCCTTCAAAACTCAGCTTAGATGTCACCTCTTTCCAGAAAACTTCTTTGATCCCTATTGTCCAATTCTCCTAAACTGGATTAAACGCCCCTCTTAAGTGCTGATATGTTGTCGCTGCCTCTTTGTTTTCTCTCCATAATCTTGAAGGGAAAGAACTGTCTCAAATATTCACCATTATGCCTCTAAGACATAGTAGAACATAGGCTTTGGAAATACCTGGATTTGTACCCCAATCTAGTAATTTTCAAACTAGGGCCACATGGACAACTAGGAAATCTGAAAAAGACAGCTCTTTCTATGAAGTGGGAAAGAGACCATCTACCTCATAAAGCTGTTAAGACTTCAATGAGATAAGACATGTAAAGCATGCCTGGCACATAGTGGGCCCTCAACAGGTTATTTAGAATTCAGAGCTTGCCACAGGAAGGGGGCTACTTGGAGTAGTCTAGATTTATCCTATACTAAAAAATGGGCATGTGAACAGATTGGAAAACACAGGTTTTCTTCCCTCACCCCTGCAAAAATGAAAAGAAAATTTAATGATTCCTTGGAAAACTGCATACTCAGAAAATCTGAGTTTCTGTGAATTCCGTATTAAAAAGTCCTATAAAATCATCTTGAGTTTAGGGAAAACTGCTTAAGCTGGGTCGCTTTAGTTCTATCAAGCGAAACAGCACTGGTCTTAAGAAAAAACTGGCCAATAAATAACCTAAGGAAACATAAACTTGTTACCGTTGTCGGTACAGAAAGAATCCCCCACAGAGAGGCACTTGGATAAAAATCAATATGCAGTGGAACATAAATAAGCATAAAATGGTAAATTACCTATATGTGTGTGCCAAGAACTGAAAAGTTACAACCTGTGCGAAAAGGTAACCATTCCCTCAATTAAAGGTTGTGCATGAACACTTAATGTTCTAACAAGCCACGGACGTGCAGGCTTACACATTTGTTACAATGCGATAAACATATCAATTACGCATCTAGCAAATGTTGTGGAGGGAAGCAAGCAACATACTTAAAATACTGAGCCCTAACTTTTCCTTGATAGCCGTTAAAAAAAAAAAAAATCAAACAATCTGGGAAAGTTCCTCCACACCTACTAAAGACTGTTCAAACACCAGGACTGAATCTTTCCAGTCTTTTACCACCACACTGACAAGTCGCTTTAATAAAACGTAACTTCCCCCAGTAACAACTAATTAGCACTTTCAAAAAGTACTTGTTTCTTCTGGTTATAGGGAAACATCACGCTTGTCTACTCCTGCAGAACTGTGAAGGGAAGAGAAGAAATGGCGTGTCTGTGCTGGCAAAATTACTACACAGAAATACTACTTTTCTCCTTTTTGTCCTGGGGCTGGGGGGTGGGCAGCGAAGCAAGTTTGAGGTCTCCGCAGTTGAAACTGGCAGGACACACTATTACAAATGAGGCTGGCCACCTTTAGTACATCACGGGCCACAGATGACGCCGACCCTCCTCGGCCAGCCTTGCCCCCTCCTCCCCCACCCCGTCCCTCCCCGAAAGGAGCCTCGTGGCAACTCGGGTGATGAAACACCGGGCAACGGGCGGCCACGCACTCGGGACGCGCTCCGCGGCGACGGCCGCGGTTCGTACCCACCCCCACCCAGTCCGCCCAGCCTTGGGGCGCACCTCCCTGGACGGCCCCCGACCCGCACCCCAACCCCGGCGTGGGGGCTCCCCGGGCCAGTCCGCCCAGGCAACTTCCCCGCATTCCCGAGCGGACCGAGGTGGATCCGGATCCCGCCGCCCCCAAGCTCCGAGTCACCTTCCCTATCACTCCATCCCGCCTCCCCGCCTGCACTCCCGAGGGCTGGTCAGCGGAGCGGAGCGACGCCGCACGCAGGGAGCGGGGAGAGCGGCCCTCGTCCTTGTCGCCGTCGTCCTCCGCCACGGCCGCAATGCCGGAGACAGAGCTGGCTGGGGCCGCGCGCCGCTCCGCGTCCCCTGACGCCTTCTCTTGCGTGGCGCCGGACCGGCAACCTAGCAAGCAGGCGGGGTCGGCGCCCCAGGAAGGGAAAGAGCGCGAGGGGCCGGCTAACGCCGCCGCCGCCTCCGTCGCCGCTGAGTCAGCGCGAAGCGCGCTCCCCGCGTCGGCGCCGCGCGGGCCAGCTCCAGCAGCCTCATGGAGAGTGCAGACGGCAGCCCGCGGGCCCGGGCCGGGAGCCTACAACTCCCGGCATGCACGGGGCAGGCGGCGCTTCCGGGCGCTCGCCGGGCCTGTGGTGCATGCCGGGATGGGGTGTCCGGCGCGAGCCCCTCCCGCGCCGCGGAATCCTGGTGGTCCTGGCCGCAGGGTAGGGCGCGCTTAGCACGCTCCGTAAAGGCTTCCTCAGGTTAGCTGGTGGATTCGAGTGCGGCGCTCCTGAGATCCAGATGACGTGATCCAAACCACATGTGATTCAGTTTAATTGCTCTTCCATGGTCCCACGTGTTTAGCGTCTAGGAGCGTGAGGATCCTCTCAGGGGCGCTGAAAATTCTTAAATTCCACTTGAAACGTACTAATATATTGTCATTCGCGAAAAGGAGAGCATTCTTAGGGAGTTCTGCTCTGCTCGTAGGTTACTTTTCTGGTAGTTACTTCGTTTATTCGGAGGCAGTATTGGTTCCAGCTGCCTAGATTTGAATCCCAGCCACAACCCCAACCTCTGCACCCCACACACTTGTTGACCTCAGTTTCAGGCACTTGACATTTTCTGTGTTTCAGTTTACTCATTTGTAAAATGGGGACAGTAATAATACTGACCTCAAAGGGTTCTTGTGAGTATTCAGTTAATATTTGCTTTTGCACACCATAAGTGCTCACTATTTAGGTTTCATTGTTGATTATTCACTACTGAGTACAGACTAGGCAATAGTCACTCAGACTGAAGTGACAATTTGGGAGGGGAAATTCAAAAGAGATGTATAATAAAATTAACGTAACAACTTAACAGCTACATTTATTTAGTGACCCACTAGGTGCAAGACGCTATACCACTCATATATACAATATTTTCTATCACTGTTGCATCGCGTTTGTAACTTTAAAATGTCCTACAAAGATTCCTGTCCTAGTTCAGCGTAAATCTGGAGTTTAGCACATAGGATAATGCTAGCCTGTAGTTAAAACTCAGTAAGTAGATTATTGCATAGATCCTTCTTTACCGGTGTTGGTCAACTATGCACTATGGGGACCCGATACTAATCCTAGTCCAAGTGGCTCCAAAATCTTTAATATGTTTGGTTTATTCCAGTTACCTACTATCTACAGCTTATGTAAAGTTTATCCAGTAATATTGACCCTTTATGGTAGTTCAATAATCTAGGATTTAAAGAATCTTTCAATTTTGAAAACTCACATTATTTTGAAACCAATAAAGAAGCACCTATAGGGAGGCAGGCTGGCTGGTTCAGCTGGTAGAGCATGCGACTTGAAGCCCCACATAGGGTGTAGAGATTACTTAAAAATAAAAAAAAATAAAAATAAAAAAAAGAAGCACCTGGTGGAATCTAATTGAGGAGGACCCAAAAGGGTTATTAAATCTGACTTTATTTAAAAAAAAATTTTTTTTTTAATATTTATTTTGAGAGAGAGACAAAGCACAAATGGGGGAGGGGGAGGGACAGAAAGAGAGGAGGGACACAGAATCTGAAGTAGGCTCTGGGCTCTGAGCTGTCACCACAGAACCTGACGTGGGGCTCGAACTCACAGACCAGGAGATCATGACCTGAGCTGAAGTAGGATGCTTAACCGACTGAGCCACTCAGGTGTCCCTAAGTCTGACCACTTTATAGTTTAGTGTTCTCATTTCAGACTAACATAAAATGTCAGTTATCAAAATGTTGATAAATAGGGGCACCTGGGTGGCTCAGTCGATCAAGCAACTGACCCTTGATTTTGGCTTAGGTCATGATCTCACAGTTCATGAGTTCCAGCCACATATAGGGCTCTGCACTAACAGCAAAGAGCCTGCTTGGGATTTTGTCTCCCTCTCTCTCTGCCTCTCCCCTGCTTGCACTCCCTCTCTCTCTCTCAAAAATAAGTATATATTTTTAAATGTTGATAAATAACGCCATCATTATTTTAACTTAAAGCATGTATGCTTGCATTAAACAAATTTAAAGCACGTATGCTTGCATTTGGCAGTGTTTTCACAAATTAATTGCCAACATTTTGGAGCATTTATTATGTGGCAGAAACAGGTTTTTTTTTTTTTTTTTTTTAAGTTTATTTATCTTGAGAGGAAGAGAGAGTGCTTGTGAGCAAGGGAAGGGAGAGACAGAATCACAAGCAGTCTCCGAGCTGTCAGTGCAGACTCAGGGCTCCATCTCATGAACGATGAGATCATGACCTGAGCCCAGATCCAGAATTGGATGCTTAACTGACTGAGCCACCCAGGTGCCCCTGTGCCTAAAACAGTTTTAAGTGTTCATATGTTAACCCTCACAACAACTCTATGAGGTAGGTACTGTCATTATCCCTATTTTATAGATTAGAAAACTGAAGTACATAAAAGGTAGCAGAGCTGGGATTCAACGCCCCCCTTCATATGTACAAGAAAGTTATTGCTAGGTGGTGAGATTGCAGAGGATTTTTTTTCTTCCTTGTACATTTTTGTAGTTTTAAAAATCCTCCACAGTGACCAGATAGTATTTTCATAATCAGAAAAACAGTAAAAAAAAAAAAACAACCAACCTGACTCTAACAAAAGGAAAAATGAAATTGTTTCATTCACTCTTTAAACATTTATTGAATGCTGTCCCTTATGAAATATTTCCAGATTTTTTTCAACCAGGTTTGTTTAATTTCTCTGATGTTGCTTTTTCTTAACCTCTTTTGTCATGAATATATTTTAATATGTTTTGTTTTGTATTAAAATTGTGTGGTTGTCTTACCTATGAGTCAATTCTTGAAGACGGAAAAGTCTTATCTTGATTCTGTGTATGGATAGTAATTTCTCAGTAAATATCTGTGAAATGTATTGAGCTGAATAAAAAATAATACAATTGTGAGCTGCTAACCACAGTGTTCTGGGTCAAATTCTGTTCTTCATCTGCTTCATCCCGATGCTTGTTAAGCCCAGTGCCATTGTCATCAAAAGCTCATTCATTCATGATGGGTTTCCTGGCAGAGAAAGAAGTTGGAAAATAGGTCAGGTAAGCTGTCTTTACTGGTCCTAGTGCAATCATTGGTTTCTTTTAGAGGAAGTGGGTGTGTAGCAGGAAGCCTGAGGCAGAAGAGAACATTGAAGCATTATTTAGTAAAAAAAAAAAAAATGACATTCTTTTGTCTGTGTATATATGTAGATTAGATTTTTTTATCTTGAGCCTTAAAGTTTAAAAAGTTAGGCTAGCATACAACAGAGAAGAATTTGGTATTATTTTGTACATGAGGAACCAAATGACCACATATATACCAAGAAATGACACACTAGTACAATTTTTTTATTTTTTTAAGTTTATTTACTTTTGACAGAGAGCTAGCATGCTTGCATGAGTGGGGGAGGGACCGAGGGAGGGATACAGGGGATCCGAAGCGGGCTTCATGCTCACAGCAGAGCCTGATGCCAGGCTCAAACTCATGAACCATGAGATCATGACCGGAGACAAAGCTGGACGCTCAACCGACTGAGCCACGCAGGCGCCCCTCAGTTCATTTTTAAAACACTTGTATAGTGTTTACTCTGTTCCAGGTACCTGTTATAAAGTACTTTAGAAACATCCTTACATTAATCCTATGGGGTTGGTACTATTACCCTCTTTTCACAGATGGGGAAATTAAGGCACCAAGAAATTAAAGTAACTTGTCCAAGATCATTTAGCTACTGAATGTGAGAGATGAAAATGGAACCCAGGTCATCTGGCTCTACAGTCTTGTGCTCATAACTACTGTCCTTTCACACTAATTGAATTGACCATCCCTCAACCTAAGGCTACTCTGTTCTGGTGAAAGTTCTTCTGGTTAAGAAGAGTGCCTCTGGGGATTAGTTCTGGGTAAGTAATGTTCCATTACTTTTGAAAGATTCATCAAGAAACATCTACTAAGCGCTTGATTGCAGCGGAACTGTATTAAATGCTTTTTGAGTTTAGATGGACTTAGAAGATAAAGAGTAATTGCCTATCTCGGATGTATTTTTGTTAATTATCCACATAAAGCTTACCAAAAGATAAGGCAATACAAATATGAAAACATGTCTATAGTGCTTTTAGAATTCATAATTCATTGCATTTGATCTCGACACCAAATTAGTGGTTGGCCAGGCAAGTATTGATAGTTTCATTTTATGGATGATAAAACTGAGGTCCAAAAAAGGTTAAGAGACTTTGCAGAAATCTCACTGATACTGAGCAACGGCGTTCGTGCTGTAATCCAGTTCTCCGGACTCCAAAGCTAGTGATCTTTCCCCTATCTTAACCCCGTTTCCTGCAATCTGAACTTTGTCGTTACCTTGGCAACAGTATAGAACACTAAGTGCCTGGAAACCATGATACTGCCTTTTCTGTGTACAACCAACTCAAAAGTTCCACTGAGGTCACCTTAACCCTTGATCCTTTTGTCAGAATCCCTTCTTCATGTGCTTACCTTCATGTCTGTTAAGTCTAAGAGCCCTTGGCACCAAAAGTGCATTTATAATGGGTTTCTCGGCAGATAGATCAGGTATGCTGTCTTTTCTAGTTCTGGTGCAGTCACTCTGTTTCTGTTAGTCCTGAGGATGGAGCAGAAGCCTGACAAACACCAAACAGCAGCTGGCAGTGAGGCCTTTTCCCCTACTTGGGCCTCACATTTCACTTGCCATGTGGTCATTTGCCTCTGAACAGTCTTGTGAGGCAACTATTTGGCAAAGGTAAAAGGCCTTTGCCTTCTGTTGGTTTGAGGCGACAAATTGTGCAGAGTGGTTTAGATAGGGAATAGTCTTTATTTTAGATGAAACAGCCCATGCTTCTGGGGCTCCCTTTTTACCCAGCTATGAAGTTATGAAGGTTCCGACAGATGTACGAACAGATTCTAAGAAAACTTGGAACGCTAGCTAGGTCATTTATGATTTTGTCAGCAGGTGGCACTTCTCTCCTTAGGCACTAAACACAACCTCTCCAATAAAAGAAATGTTTTCTTTTGTTTTGTTTTGCTGCTAACCTCAGACTTGGTTAGCCACCCAACCATTTCTCCTCCGTTCCTTTTTTGCAGTGATTTAGTCCACAATACCTGTGTATTTTAATTCGTTTATACTTTTTCAATAAAAGACATGAAGTTGCTTACAGCATATAGTATACAACAGTAAAATACGAGGAGAACATGAACTGCAATAAAGAACA